CAGGGAGGTAAATTGGTGGTTTCTATGCTCCCATGACTCCCACCAAGTGCTGTGGGGTGCATGTGGTCTGGGGCTGGAGGCAGTAGCTGGTCCAGCGGCCACTGTACACCGTGTGTGGCCCAAGGCTCTGGGCCTTAGTTCCTCCTTGGTAAAGGGCAACTACACGGCTGGCCCACCTGCGTTTTCAAAGGCCTCGAATGGCAAGTGAAGGTCCTGGCCAAGGCCAGGACCCGGCCCCGGCCCCGGCTGGCTCACCATGCTCATTCTCCTGCCTGCAGCTCTGATGCAATTTATGGGGGACCAGCCCAAGCCCCGGGGCAAGGACGAGATAGACCTGCTCTATGAGCTGCTGCAGGTAAGGACGAGCAGGATGCTGGGCATTAGGGGTCCTGGCCCAAGCCCGAGTGCCCGTTCCTGGGCTCCTGCCTGGGCCCCCATGAGGCCAACGTCCCTTGGTCACTATTCCTTCAAATCATTCGAAACAGCATGTTTATTCATTGAAGAGTTTACCCGCTCGGTGGGGTGGGCTAAAGCCATAGGAAGGGATGTGATGTGTCTGGGATATGCTATTTTGTTTTTGTTTTGCGAGAAAAGTTGAACTATTTTTGATAACAAGAGTAAACAGTGAAAAATGCAAAGAAAAAAAAAAGGCCCGCGGCCACTGTACACCGTGTGTGGCCCAAGGCTCTGGGCCTTAGTTCCTCCTTGGTAAAGGGCAACTACACGGCTGGCCCACCTGCGTTTTCAAAGGCCTCGAATGGCAAGTGAAGGTCCTGGCCAAGGCCAGGACCCGGCCCCGGCCCCGGCTGGCTCACCATGCTCATTCTCCTGCCTGCAGCTCTGATGCAATTTATGGGGGACCAGCCCAAGCCCCGGGGCAAGGACGAGATAGACCTGCTCTATGAGCTGCTGCAGGTAAGGACGAGCAGGATGCTGGGCATTAGGGGTCCTGGCCCAAGCCCGAGTGCCCGTTCCTGGGCTCCTGCCTGGGCCCCCATGAGGCCAACGTCCCTTGGTCACTATTCCTTCAAATCATTCGAAACAGCATGTTTATTCATTGAAGAGTTTACCCGCTCGGTGGGGTGGGCTAAAGCCATAGGAAGGGATGTGATGTGTCTGGGATATGCTATTTTGTTTTTGTTTTGCGAGAAAAGTTGAACTATTTTTGATAACAAGAGTAAACAGTGAAAAATGCAAAGAAAAAAAAAAAGTTCATTCCTCTCACATGAGAGGGACAGCACGCCTGCAGGGTCTGAGACGGTCACCTCCCACAGCCTCGGCCAGGCCTGGGTCACGCGCACGTGCGTGCCTGGCTTGCTCAGGGAGGTCCCTGGATGAAAACCCACCTTCTCGTGGAAGGGAGGGGGCAACAGCTCGGGGGCTGCTGGTGCGCGGACTGCTCTGCGGCCCTCTTCCTGTGGCCGCGGGGGCAGATGCGCAGACCAGCGCGTTTTGGCACTCTACCACCCCCGGCCCTCGGAAGTATTTCCTGAGCTATTACACGGCACGTGCCAGACAGGCTCAGTCCCTGGGAGGAGACGTCCACACGACATGATGGGTCTGGGGGGGAAAGGTGCTAAGCCGCCAAGAAAGGAAAAAGCGAGTGGACAGCAGAGAAGGCCCAGGGCAAGACACCTGCCGGAAGTGAGAGAGAGCCATGTGGACATGAGATGGGGCATCTGGGCAGAGGGATGCAGGTGAAGGAAGTGGTTTAAAGAGGCCAGTTGGGGGGCCAGCAGTTGGCATAATGGCTGTCACTGCTGTGTCACTGGACTCCCACACAGTTGACCACGTTCAAGTCCTGGATCCGGTGGCTTAAACTCACGCCAGGCGCATATGCGTGCATGCCCAAGATCCCGAGAGGAGAATGGAGAAGGGATTGTGGCGTGACCATCCCCCCGGAGGGTGATCTCTCACTTTCTGTCTCTCTCTTTCTGGCGAGCGCATGCGCCCTAAAGCAAAAACCTCTCCAATAAATAAATAAATAAATAAAGAGGCTAGTTGGGCTATTCAGTTGCTGAGGGAGACAAAGGCTGAGAAGTGACACTGGGATGTCACTTTGACTCCACCCCAGCCCCTCGCTGTTGGCACCCTTTGAGGGCCCCCTGCCACCCTCCCCCAGCGCCCCTCCCACCACCGCTCAGCTGCCCTGCCCTTGTCTTCCTGTCCCTGCAGCTGTGCCTCAAGGAGGAGAGCCTCAGGGATGAGATTTACTGTCAGGTCATCAAGCAGCTCACAGGACACCCCCAGCCGTGAGTGGGCACTGGTGGGCTGGGGGCCCCAGGGGCAGCGTGGCATGTGTCCTGGCCGGCCTGACACCCAGGCTCTCGGCCCGCAGGGAACACTGTGCTCGAGGCTGGAGCTTCCTCAGCCTCTTCACAGGCATATTCCTCCCGTCCACCACGCTGCTGCCCTACCTGACCAAGTTCCTGCAGGACGCAGGCCACAGCCAAGGTGTCTGGGACGGGGAGCGGGGAGGGGCTCCCAGGGCTAGGGAGGAGCCGGGACCCACCTGTGACCCGCCTGGCTTCTCCGCAGAGCTGGCCCGGAGAAGCCAGGAGCACCTGCAGCACACAGTGAAGTACGGGGGGCGCAGGCAGCTGCCCCCTCCCGGCGAGATGCAGGCCTTCCTGGTACTGGGGTGGGCAGATGGGCATTCTGGGACTCCCCGGGCGAGGTGGGGCGGTGTGCACAGGGGAGCTGGGAGCCCCACCCACCGGTAGATTGACTCTCAACCTCCCTTGGCAGAAAGGGCAGGCTGTCCGCCTGCTTCTAATTCACCTGCCCGGAGGTCTGAGTTACAGGACAAGTGTCGGGACTTTCACGGTGAGTGTAGGCCACCAAGGCAAGAAGACACAGGCCTCAGCTCTGTAGCCCCATCTTCACGGCCTTGTTCACGTGGCCAGGTGGCAGCTGACGTACTGGAGGACATGTGTGGGCAGATGGGCATCACGGAGCCCCAGGAAGTGCAGGAGTTCGCCCTCTTCCTCATCAGAGGGGAAGGTGAGCCCAGGGAGAAAGGGTGGCGGCCGGCTCTGGGAAGGTGGCTTCTCCTCCCGAGCTGAGGCGGTTTCTGTGCTGGGGACACGGTGGGGCGGGGCCAGCTGTGGACCTGGGCTCCCGGTGCAGGTCAGCTGGTGCGGCCCCTGCGGCCCCACGAGTACCTCGGCGGCCTGCTGGCGGACAGAGATGCGAGCCTGCACAGCCGGCGGCTCAGCTGGGAGAGCCCGCTGCACTTCGACAACCCCACCTACGTCAGCACCCACTACGGCCAGGTCAGAGCTCCTGCGCCGCCCCGCGGGATGCCGCTCTTGGCACTGCGTGGGTGGTGGCAGGGGTGTGCGGGAGCCCAGGAGCCCCCGGTGCTGGAGCTGTGGGGAACGACTGCCCCTCACACCCTACCCTCAGGTGCTGCGGGACTACCTGCAGGGGAAACTGGTGGTCAGCGCCCAGGTGGACGTCCAGCTCGCCACGCTGGCTGCCCTGCAGCACCTCAGCAAGGCCAGCAAGAGCCCCCCTACAGAGTGCGTGTGAGCTCACCCCGATGCCCTCCCCATCACCCCTGTCCCACCTCAGCAACCCCCAAGGTCAAGGGTGCTCAGCTTGTGCCCTTCCTGGCCCTGGCCAGATCGTCCTGGGCAGTGGAGGCCGTGGACCTGTCCCCCATCCCAAGCCTTCTAGGTAAGGGCCCTGGCCTCATCATGTGTATGGGCCCCCAGTGTCACCCACAATGGGCACCAGTTCAGTCACTTGACACTCAGGGCATGCCCAGCCACCTGTCAGGTGCCCAGGGGTCACAGTCAAACCAACCCAGGCTGTGCACCCCAGGCGAGACGTGCTGGCGTACATCCCGAGGCCGCTGCAACGGCAGGTGGACGTGACCGCCATGAGGAGTGCAGTGGGCCAGGAGCTGGAGCGGCTGCATGGGCACGGCCCCCAGGAAGCTCGGGTCAGCTTCATCGGTGGGTCTGAGCCTGAGGGGGCTGCTGCGGTGCAGGCGGGAGGCCCAGGAGGGAAGAGGAGGATGGAGGACAGAGGTGGCATCTACAGCTGCCCTGCCCCTCTCACCTGACCTGGGGGGCAAGGGCAAGCCCCAGGCCCCAATGGTCAGCCCTGCCCTCCCCCACCCCAGAGGCTGCGAGCCGGCTGCCCCTCTTTGGCTACACGGTCTACGTGGTGCTGCGGGTGAGCAACCTGGTCCTGTCTGGACACGCCCTCCTGGGGCTCAGCCGCCAGCACCTGATCCTCATGGACCCCAGCTCCCAGGTGGGCTGGGCTCTCGCCCAGTGCTTGCCCGGGATCCCTCAGCCATCCTGTCCCCACCTACTAACCCCTTGGCGGAGAGAAGCCACGCCCCGCTGTCTCGGCCCCCAGGTACTGTACTGCTCCATCGCCTTGAGGGACCTGCAGCGCACCCACCTGCTCAGTCCCCAGGAGCCAGACGGGCCTCCTGGCCTGGAACTCAACTATGGCTCTGCTGACAGCCCCCAGACCATCTGGTTTGAGCTGCCGCAGGTGAGGGGCTGGGGCTTGGACCACCCTGGCATGTGGCTGCGGTGGGAGATGTCTGGGGACCCCACCCTAACGTGGCTTTGCCGGGCAGGCCCAGGAGCTGCAGAGCACCATCATCTACCTGCTGGACAGTGGCACCTACTCGTAGCTCAGCCACCACTGAGCGGTGGGGACGGGCGGAGACGAGGCCTCTCCCTGTCCCATCTCTCTCAGCTGGGGTGTCGTGGGTGCTGTTGGGTCACTTTGGTTTGGCCCTCAGAGCCTGACTGCTCAAGAGCCTGCCCAGCTGGCCTGCGATGGTGAAAGAGGAGCCTGCTCTTGGGGCTGGGGTGGTGGCTGCAGGAACCCGGCTCGGATCTGACGCTGCCTGCCCGGGGGAGATGCCCACTCAGCCCCAGGCCCACCCAGCTCCGTACTAGCATGAGCCCGGACCTGGGAGGGGCCGCTGCTTAGGAAATAAAATGGAGAGAAAAGCGTGCGCGCACGCATCAGCACGAGCAGGCCTTTATTCCTCCGGTCAACGCTGCAGCCCGCCTGGCCTTCCTGAGCAGGAGCGGAGGCAGGGAGCGGGCCTGGCTCTTTTCACGAGCTCCGTACCATGCCAAGGCTGGCGGCTGGCATCTCGGGAGGGCGGTGAGCGGAGGACCCGAGGCTGGCAGGGGCTCCCTGAGTAGGCCCTATAACCTGGAGAGGTAGGCTTCGCCCCTGGCTAAAACGTATGTACAAGAGGTGCAGGGGCCGCTCCTTCCCCGGCGGCAGCCCCACCACTTACCACTTTCCACCTGGGGATCTTGCCCAGAAAACCCAGCCATAAAGACCAGGAGAGGAGGAAGGCCCCAGAAAGGACTCGGGCTTTGTAAGCAGAAATCGGAGGCTGACCTCTGGCCTTGAGCTGGGAAGTGTTTGGGACCGTCCTCAGTGTCAGATGTGACAGGAAGCAGGAAGGGCCCTGAGGAAAGCTGAGGCCCTGGGCATCTGCAGGCCTGCCCGCTCCTGGATGGGCCCAGGCTGGCCCATGATGGGATCTGGAGCTGGTCATCTCTGTGGGCCATGCAGGTCACGCCAGTCAGCTGTACTCTCGCACCGGGCCCGGCCGTGGAAAAACTGCTCGATGAGGTCCTGGGCATCTTCTTTCACTGCAGATTCAGGGTGAGGGGCTTGTAAGAAGGTTCAAGTTGGTCTCCCCCCACTGACCTCCCCAGACACCCCAGCAGTGGCGTACTCACCACTCCTCCCAGGAGAGGTTTTCCGTGTCAGCAGGTGTGAGAGGTGGCGGGCGAAACCTTTAAATAGTTCCTGGAAGGTGGCAGAAGAGAAGCAGAGAGGATTCCTCCCCGACCCCGGAGACAGCTCCAGCCTCCAGCCTCGCCCAGGCCTGGCCGGGACCGCGCCGGCTGAGCCCTACCTTAGATGCAAACTTGCCGTCCCTGTAGAAGGGCGTCAGGCACTTGACGACGACACTCGCGGCCTCCTTCAGGGAGGTGCCAGGGGTTGAGGGCTGGCAGGGGTCTTGACCCGAGGGGTTCACGGTTTCCTGGTCACTGGCCGAGACGTTGGTCTTGACCTCGGCTAAGATGGAGGGCGTGGCTGAGGGGCGAGGCCTCTTCTGAGCCTGGCTCTCTGGGTTCTCCTGGGTGGGGACACAGTGGAAGGTCACTCTCAGGCTCCCGTTTCCTGGCCCCAGCCCCCACTCTGAACACTGGGCCTTGGTTCCCCCATCATAGAGCTGCCTGTCCTTGGAGGCTCTGTGATCTCGGCCACCTGGCATGGGTGGCCGTGGCACCTCCTTGCTCCTCCAGCGGGCTCCCTCCATCCCTGCCCATCTGTGCTGGGGTGTGGGAAGAAGCAAAGGCTTCCCCTGGTGCCCTGGGCGGGGCCGAGCCGGCACCAGGCTAATGCCCGGGCCTCCCCCTTGCCAGTACCTGCAGGGCTCTGGGCCGCTTGCCTGGCTGTGTCTCCTCTGGGGGACTGGGTGGGGCTCCAGGGGGCCCGTGATCTCTGAGTGGGCAGGTGCTGGCCGGAGGGAAAAAAACGCATCAGCGACCCAGGGACCGGCCACCTCCTCGGCCCACACGGCCCAGCAGAGTCCGGCTCGGCTTATGAAGGATGCCACACGGCTCCAGAGGAGGCCCAGCTACTGTGCCTTACCCCAGCCCTTCCCCGGAGCCCTCCTTGGTCTGGGAAGGGGCTCCAGCTTCCTCGTCTGAGCACTTCTTGGAGGAGCTGGTGCCTTCTGCCCCGGGGACCACAGAGGGCGGGGGTGGGTTTTCTGCCCTTCTGCAGAAGCGGGCAATGTTCTGAGAGTCCTTGAGGGCCGCCGCGGCTAGGAGCTGCTGCTTCTTCTTGGTGGGGGCCTTGGCAATGGAACTGCTCCCAGAGGGGCCTTTCACTCTCTTCCCAGGGGAGTGCCCCCCACCGTGAGCCCTTTCTCCAGGGGCCTCTCCTCTGGGCCCAGAGAGGGGCTCACTCCTGTCCTCATCCTCGAGGCTGAAGGGCCGGCTGGGGGCCTCATGCTCCCCTCCCTGCGTGGGCAGAGAGGCTTGCTCGTCGGTCCGTGTCTTCTCCATCAGCTCAGAGGCCGTCCGGAACGGGCAGGAGCCTTTGGGGAAACCAGCTCCTATCCGCTTGGGTTTGAGCTGTGGGAGGAGGATGGGTCACACTGCCTGGCCCTTTCAAGGGCACCTCCCTGCTGGATCGGGTCAGCGCTCTCAGGAGTGCCAGGGAGTCAGCGGGGACCCAGCATGGCAGTCAGGCTGAGGCAGGCTGCAGAGGTGCAGCAGCCGAGCGGGCTCTGGGTCTCCCTGGGGGCACCCTTGGGTCAGGAGAGGGCAGGAGGCTGTGGGCTACCTGAGGCTCAGGGAAGTGGGGACTTCTAGACTCGGGTTTGGGGGAACCCCAGGCCGCTGCTCACCGAGTACACCTGGGAGGCCGGTGGGATGTCATACTCGCTGGGTTCCAGGCTCTCAGCCTGTGCACTGTGACCCTTGGCGCCACCTCCCTCGGCGTAGAGCTGCCTGTCCCTGGAGGCTCTGTGGATCTCGGCCACCTGCGCAGGGACAGGCCGCAGCTGTGGCCCTTTCCCTCTTGGCAATGAAGGAGCTGGGCACTGGGCAAGTCCGAGGCCTCATGGGGCAGGTAGACACCCCTCCAGCTGCTGAGATGTGGCCCCACCCCTGCGAATGGCCCCCCGAGGTGGGACTGTGGGGGGGGAGCTGGCAGCACCCAGCCTGCCCACCCTGTGTGGGGCCCACCTTCTTCAGCACGCTGGCCTTGTACAGGTTGGCCGCCTTGGCGTTTCGGAACATCTCATGTTCCAGCTCCACAGCCTCGGCCCGGAGGTCAGCTCTGCAGGCAGGAGTGAGCACAGGGGGCTGGCGGGCCTCGCCCTGCTGAGCTTAGGGCACAGGGTTCCGACTAGAGCTATCTGGGCGCCCTGTGGCCTACTGTCCCTCAGCACCCCCTGGCAGCCCGAGCTGTGGCCGCTGGCACCCCCCACAATAGGAGGGGTCACAATCTGGGAAGGGGCTGCCCCACCGGCCGGGGTGCACGTTCCTGTAGTCCAGAGGATCAGAGCGGTGAGCCCTCCTCCTCCTCTGTGACCCCAGGGCACTCACCCCTCGGCTGTGCCCATCGCCTGGCGGTTACTGCTCAGCGCCTCCTCCAGGAGCCCCAGGCAGTGTTCGCGGGCCTGCCGTGGGGCACGGAAGTTAGTGGCGCAGCCCGAGGGGGAGGGCTGGTAGGGTGAGGGGCTGCCCATCTCTTACCTTCACCGTGAGCCTGGGAATCTTCCTGCTGGAAGCCTCTCTCAGGGGACAGTCTTCATCTGGGAGAGGAGGGACCGTCCTTCCACTCATCTGCTCGAGTCCCGCCCCCGCCACACCTACAAGCCAACCCCCATCCACGCCTGAGACAGTCCACAGGCCCTCGGGAACATTTCTGTACTGACCTGGGGGGATGAACTCTTCTGCCTTGGGGTCTTTACTCTGGAAGAGCAAACGTGAAGGGGCCATGAGGTGTCCTGCCCTCCCATCCAGTGCCAGGGAAGCAGCTGGGGGTGTGAGCGGGGAACCACTGGGACCCCGTGCAGGCCATGGAGCCCCTGCCATGTCCCCGCCCCCCTCACCTTGCGCAGGCTCATCTGCTTCCGATAGAAGAGATTCCATTCCCGCTTGTGGGCCTCATCTGTGCCCTCGTCCCCACTGCCTCCAGAACCTTCGTCGTACCTGGGGACAGGCTGGTGTGAGCACCCCCTGACCTGGCACCTGCCCTCCCGCTCATGCCACTGGTGGGGCACTAAGTCCTTTTTTCTGGCAGCTTGGGGCAGCCCTGAGGTCAGGCCCCAGCATGGCCTTCAGGGCAGGAGGTGGACTACAGCACTGGCCTCAGCACCAGGAAATGAGAGACTAGTTCCTGTGGGTTGGGGGCCCCTTGGTGCCACAGCCTCTCACCTGCTAAAGCCCCCGTAGCCCCTGCGGCCTCCCTCATACAGCTCAGGGTCGAAGCCACTGCCCAGGGAGGGTGCGATGCAGGTCTTGTTCCAGCCGCTGCTGTGCTCCAAGGCGCCCAGCTGCCTCCGCACGGCCGCAGGGTTCTGGCAGTGGTCGCAGCCCTTGGCGCAGGCAGGTGGTGCGTCCCCAAAGTACTTGGCAATGGCAGCGTGGCGGCACCTGGAGCAAGTGGTGTGGCAGAGGCGAGGGGTGAGGACCTGCAGCCGCCTCGCTCTGTGCCTATACCATGCCAGGTTTTCCCATGCCTCGACTGGTGCCACCTGGTTCTGCCCATTGAATAGGTGAGGACGCTGGGGTCAGGCGCTGTCCCAAGGTCACAGAACACACGGGGTACGCTGCGAGCCAGGAGGTCTAGTTACTCCCGTCCTCTGGCAGTGGGGATGTCCTGGGAGGAGTCAGGCTCTGGCTGCAGACGCTGGCCTGGCCACTACCGCTGTTTCCAGGGGGAACATCTGATCTGAGGAGCCTCCGCGGAGGTGTCCGAGTGCACTGTGACGTAGAGTCGTGTCACTGTCATTCCTGCCCGCCCTGAGGAGGAGGGATAAGGGACAGCAGGGCAGGCTGCTCTCCTGGCTCAGGACCCTGCTCTGGCTCGTGATCTCCTGGTGGCGGGCACAGCGAGCCTGTCCAGGCCCAGCGTGCACTGTGTGACCCCGGAGAGAGCTGGTAAGCAGGCGGCCCGACTGCTCCAGGCACCAGAGTCACAGTACGGGCTTTGGCCAGGCAGGTGCGAGCTCGGCCAGGTCTCACCATCTTCTGCCTTGGCCCTTCCGTGGCCCTCACAGGATCGGCCTCTGTTTGGGGGGAGCGGCTCTAGCTGGCCTGTGAGGCTCTCTTCTTCTCAGGCTGGGGGTGGCCATTAACCCTCAGGGCAGGTACAGAGGCCCTAGGAGGGCCTGAAGGGCCAGCAGCACCCTTATGAATAGCCACTGCTGCCGCCCCGAATGTGGCACAGAGTGGAGCCCGCAAGAGGCTGGAGACTGCCTGAGGTGCCACGTCCCAGGGACAGGGATGGCGGACCTCAACGCTCTAACCGCAGCTCCTGCCCACGTGAGCACTGCCCAGTGCTGCGAGAAACCGTCAGGGGCTGAGGCCCCAAGGTGCAGGCTCACAGACAAAAGCTGACGGGACCAGCAGTTAGCGTAATGGCTATGTCGCTGAACTCCCATGTCGTTGACTGTGGCTCAAGTCCCGGACCCGGTGGCTTAAACTCACACCGGGCACGTGTGCGTGCGTGCCCAAGATCCCGAGAGGAGAATGAAGAAGGG